GGTCTACGGCCGCAAGGCGCGGGAGTCGGGCGAGCTCGGCGCGCTGCCGCGCAGCCCTGCCGACTCCCCCGCCTGACGCAGCGCCACCGGCCGCACCTGCTGCACGAGCGCCACGAGGAAGCGCCCCGGCTCCTCGTGCGGCGCGAGGTGGGCCGAATGCTCGAACCACACGAGGCGTTTCACCGGCGCCTTCAGCCGCGCCAGCCAGGGCTCGATGACGCTGGACGGTGTCGTCAAGTCGTGCCGGCCGAGAAACATGAACATCGGGAAGGCCACCTCGCGGATCGCCGTGTGGTCCACCCGGCGCATGTCGGGCAGCAGGGCGGGCACCGAGAGCTGCCCGCCGGCATCGATGGCGAGCCGGTCCTCGAAGTCGTAGTACGGCGACAGCCGCGCGGCGCGGAAGTAGAAGTTCGCATCGCTGCGGTAGGCCGCAAGACCGCCGTAGGCCATGACCCACTTGCGTGCGACGTTGACCTTCTCGAAGGGAATCTCGCCGTCGCCCGGGTACGGCGCGATCGCCTGCAGCTCGGCCAGCGCGGTCTTGTCGCCTCGCCGGCCCGCCTCGGCCAGCAGCGCCTCGTACTGCGCCCGCTCGTTGGCCTGCAGGTTCATCAGCGGCCCGACGCCCACATAGGCCGCCACCCACGCGGGCCGGCGCTGCGCGGCGTCCAGCCCGATGACATTGCCCCAGGAGTGGCCGAGCAGGATGACCTGCTTCACGCCCAGCCGCTCACGCACGAGGGCCATCAGCTCGACGAGGTCGTCGGCCATGCGGGCGCGGGTGAGCTGCTCGCGGTTCGCGGCCTCGCCGGCGTCTCGCAGCGTCTTGCCCGTGCCGCGCTGGTCCCACTGCACGACGGTGAAGTAGTCCTCCCAGCCGCGCTGGTAGGGCCAGCTGCGGCCCATCTCGGCGGCGCCCGGCCCGCCGTGCACGTACAGGAGCACCGGGTTGGCCCGGTCGGCGCCGCGGATGGTGATCCACTGCCGCAGGCCACCGAGCACGACAGCCTCGCTGACCTCGATCGCCTGCGGCCCGACCAGGCGCTGCTGCTCGGCAATCATCGGGCGCACGGTGGCGTAGGCGG